CAACACCTAGTCTTAATTAAAGTCAGCATTTCGGAAATTCCTTGGACATTATAATGATCTTATTGGCAAATGCATGTTGAAAATTTAGAATATTGGTAACTAAATTTACAAAAATCAATAATCAATGAAGGCCATAATTTTTATAAATACGGTTAGAATATAATGCAATAGTACGGTACATGTTATGACAAAAAGATAATAGTTCTGACAAGTCTGTTCTCCGTTCAGACGACCAAGGTATTTGTGTGGACAAATAAGGTTTTCTTTTTAGACAAATTAAATATACTTGTACGTTAGAAGAGAGTAGATTGTTATTTTTCCGAAATTCTTCAGACGAACTGTATATTTGCTCGAACAATTTAGCAAATTATATATTTATTTGAACAGATTTGTTTTCCTATATGGACAAGACTTATCATTCCTTTGATGAAGAGGAGCATCCCGAAGATCAGAGCAAACACAGACCTCTAAAAACATCAGAGGTGGGATCAGGTCCATGGAGGAGTAAGCATCCCCTGCCGACCGGTCACACCCGCTATGAGCTTCTTGTCATGATCGGAAAACGGAAAAATCCATAGTTAATTCAATGTGTAAATAATAGCTTGCCTCGTTTCAGAAATTGTTTGTACGTAGAGCTTGCTATTGCATATCGAATCAATTGGGAGACATAAACATATGCAGGTTATAAAGGTACATTGCTGCTCACGAGGTTTGTTAGAAAAGGTCACGAAAACATTGATTTACGTAAAATTTAATTTGTACTTTGAAGAATGGCCTATGTCTGATTAAATTTCTATCTTTTGTTTATTAGTATGTAAAAAAAGTCAGGTTCATTTACTAAAATTGTGAAAATTTACAAGGATTTTAGTTTCATATTACACATTATCGGCCTGTCGTTTCTAACAAAAATATCTGAAGTCATGCAGAGTCTTTAGAGGTCTATGCAGATGACGTCATAAATGCAACCATCTATAAAGAAAACATCGTTAGAAGTTCAAATCAAACACTGTAAAAAACAAGGATATAGGTCATAAAACAATTTGTTTCTCATGATGTTTTCATTCAAAAATGTAACTTATTCGTTCTCAACAAATTATTTTTTTATTAATAAACTTTGTATTCATAAAATGTTTTAAATCAAATAAAAATCGAACAAACGTAAGAGGAAAATGAAATTAAACACACAATGAATGCTTTACGGGGCAGTTAAGTGTTTTCAATACCAATATGTAATCAATCTGGCACTTGTTTTGTTCTGTTTTGTTTTGTTTTTTTTCTTTTTTGGTGTTTGTATATATAGTACACACATTCACATCCTCCATAAACACATTGCTACCGTGCACCTTGACGCCTTCATTGATGTCTCCAAGGAGAAAATTTATAGGTCCCTTTGGGTTTAGAATATCAATTCTCTAACGTTCGCTCTGGCCTCGGAAATGCCAAACACAGTCACATAAAAGAAGAGATTTAGAATTAAAAAAAAGATGAAAAACATTATTTTATGATGTATCCTGCACATAACAGGCACAAAAAAATAAGCTTACAAAAACGTATACTAACTTTGAATACTATCTGAGCTGACGAGTGTTTTACATGGCTATGGGGGTTTTGAGTTTTCGTATCAAATGAATTACATTTTAATCTGTGTACAAGAATGTATCAGATCAACTGAACATCTTTAAGTCGCTATGATACATATTCCTTTTGAATATTTCATTCATACATATTTTAAACTTCATGTTAATATTGTTCTCTTTCTCTCTCTCTCTTTGTGTGTGTGTGTGTGTGTGTGTGTGTGTTTGTTTTTCTTTACAAGTATTGTAATCTGCAATTTATTCAGTTTATTGTGTAATGTATACCTTGACTTTTTGTGTGAAGAGGGTATTCATGGGCATTAATTGCCTATTGCTCATCTAATAAGATTTTCTGAATAAATATTGTTTAAAGTTATGCATTCATAGGTATTATTTCTAAAGATAAAGAAGGATGGTCAAGTCATGATTTATTTTCCAGATATTTTACTTTTTACTGTTTTGTTTATCCAAAAATTGTATTCAGAAAATCACCTGTGTATTCGGAGTCTCTGTAGCTACCAGTTAGAATTGTAAATGGTACCTGGGTATTTCATGAAATGATAATTCAGAATAAAATTTGGCAAGGCTTTCGAAGGTATAACAAACGTATAGCTAGCAGAAAAAAACATGATATATTGGAAAGTACTCATTTTTCAAAAAGTGATAACGGATAAATTAAAATACTGTACCTATAAATTAAAATATATACCCCCTTCCCGAAAAAAAACTTAATGGGTAATAACTGAATATATGATTTTTGTTTTAGTATCATTAAATAATTGTCAAAATCAAGAACTGATTAAATGAAAAATTTCTTATTTGTGGATTTGTAAGTTATATAGCTCAAACATTAATTTGTTGAGTTCCGCTATCTTATAGCAGGCAAGAGAGTATTCTTTCTAGCATTGTTCTTGAAGGGAAAGAAAATCAAGAATTTTGCCGCACTTTTTCTCACAGAGTGAAAAATAAAACTTTGATATTTTTCACACTTTGAAAAAAGAATCACTTTTATTCAATTATTCAATATAAGTATTTCATTATTGAAAATGTAATCGAAAGTTTATTTTGCCTTTACAATTTTGACTATTTCGACGCGACAATTTCATTATATACGAGGCGTCTCACAAATTTCTAAACCCAATATATTAAATTTAAGATTTTTTAAACCTAATCCATTTTAGGTATTATTCAAATTAACACAACGAAGATTATCGATTGTTAGTTGTAAGGTCTCTTCCGAAAATCCCGTGACTTTTACTTCTATTGCCGGGGTTTGGCGAAGGAACAGGCACCTTCTACGTTTACGTAATAGGTTTGACGCTGCGCAGTAAACGAACCCGGGCCTTCCGATCACGAAGCGGACACCCTACAACTAGGCTACCGTGACCGGTACACAAGAAAGAGAATAATCCCCGAGTTATATGAAATGAAATATGAAGATAACGAACAGTATTCAATCTCGAAAGTCTAATGAAACGATACGAATTTGGAGCAGAGCAAACACGGACCTCAAAATTAAGAGGTGGGATCAGGTGCCATGGAGGAGTGAGCATCCCCTGCCGACCGGTCACACCCGCCGTTTGCACCTTGTCATTATCGGAAATCAAAAACCGGAAATATCCGTAGACAGTTCAGTGTATCAATAATGGCCTAACAATCAGTATGAAAAACGTCAGTCAGCATTTGACTCAATGACAGGTTGTATGTGCTGACAAGGTCATTGTATCGACCGAATGACTTGCGAAAAGATGACTTCATGCGAGACTGTTGATATCCTTGTTTCATCAACTTGTTTTTCAATAGCTTGGCTCGTTTTAGAAATTGTTCAAACGTAGAGCATGCTCTTGCGTATCGAATCAACTGAGAGAGATAAACCCCATATGCAGGTGATAAGGGTATATTGCTTCATAAGTAAGGGAAGTTGACGATTGAAAAATTGAAGTCATCTCATTTATCATTAAGCTTTGTTGTTAGGTTACCATTAACGTCTTTTCTAGTAAAATATCCAGATATGAAACCGATGTGTCAGAATCTGTGGTATCTTTTATTTCAAGCTCACTGGGATATATCGAGTCGACATATTAATGAAAGTAACTATTGTTAATTGATAATACATCGTAGATATATCGAAATGTCAAGTTGAAGGTCACTGCAAGTGTTTTCTTCTCATGTTGAAGTTTTTTTTTAATAAATTCTGCTTCATTTGAATACAAAAATAGGTCTGCTAATAAGGGGGCGCAATTCTTACCCATGGGAATTTCAACAGATTGTTGGAAGACCTGGTCTCCAAAAACTATATAGATATTGTCAATCAGAGACTCAAGCATCTTTAACACATCAACTTCAGAGTACTTGTGTGTACAATCAGAGTGCTTTTTAGCAAAATAATTTTGTAAATGACCAATGACAAGGTAAGTATATTTACGAGTTCCAATTTTATTGAAACAGCAGCTGTGTATGATTTCAAAAAGCCTGGACTTCAATTTATCGTGGGGAATGGTTTTATAAAGTGTTGAAAAGTCGTACGTTTTGATGCTATTGATTTAAGTAAAATTTTGTGATTTCAAATTTTCCAAAAGTTCTTTGGAGTTTTTAAGTATCCACATCTGATTTACACCACTTCTCGAATATGCTGTTGAACAGTACTCCTGAAGTTTCTCCTTCATTACAGTAAATATTTTAGTGAGGAGTAAAGAAAGAGGCTTGGTAGAAAATTTTCTGGAACCCGCTATGTATCTTTGTTTGTAAGGATTTTTATGAAGTTTAGGAATCCAGTATAGGTATGGTAATTCAAATTCATTTTGATTGTTTGGAATATTAAAATTACTAAAACGGACATATGATTTTGAAGAATTTCCTCCTTAGAAAGGGAGGTAAGGATGTAAGTTGGATTTCCACTTGTAGAATTAAATCCCAGTTCCTCTAAAATACAATTCAAATAATGAGCCTTACAAACAAAGACTATGTTGTTACAAGCTTTGTCAGCTGGGACCAGTACATACTTGTTGTGTTGTTCAAATCATCACACTAACACGTGGGTCAGCCATAACGGAACTTTTATTGAATGCGCAAGTGCAGTACATTCTAATATACAAACCAAAGATACAATAGATCCGGAATACATCACATTCCTCCCCTTCATTTAAGCTGTACAATTTTTTCAAGATTTTACAGTTATTAATTGGCAATAGAATTTTTTTTGAAAGTCACTAAAAATGTTCCTGGCTTTTAGTTTTATGAAAAGCTACTTAGCTACGAAAACAATATCATATAAAGTGATTAGAATGACTAGATGACAAAAATGACTAGAACTAATGAATACATTTGCACTTTTACAACAATACTGATAAACAGAAAAGAACCTCTGGTTCTTACTGATTACATGGAGATTATTATGCTCCCAACACTGTGTAATCAGTATAATATTCACAAATTCAGTTTCTTCGGAGCCCGTCTCTCTCTTTGCGGATAGCGTCGAACGTTTGGAGTTGGCACAGACACGGAGGCTGAAGGTTCTTTTGACACCACAGGAGTTTTCGAGACATTTGGTGAGATTGCATCTTTTCCTTTAGGAGTACGAATTGTTGTTGGAACAATTGGCCTGACATGAGGAATTTCAATATTTGGTTCAGAATTGATGTCGCTAGTTCCACAACGAAGCTGATCAGCATGACGTCGCCATAGAGTGCCAAGTCCTGTGTCAACTGTGTAAGACAGCGGTCCAGAACGAGAATGTATCTCAGCAGGAATCCAACTGCGTTCTGTGTTCCTGTAATCTCTGGCCATAACCTTTTGTCCTTCTTTGAATTCTCTAACATTAGAGCGTATAGAAAACTTCATCTGGTCCTGTCCTGACAATACCGTATCGTTCAGGTTTGGTTTAATCATGTCTAGCCTAGTTCGCAAATTTCGTGCCATTAGTAATTTAGCTGGTGTTTCATTTGTTAAAGAGTGTGGTGTAGTACGGTATTTGAATAAAAATGTGCTCAGCTTTTGCTGCATGGATGCATTGTCTCCCTTTGTACTCTTCATTGACTGTTTGAATACTTGAACAAGTCGCTCTGCTTGCCCATTTGTTCGTGGATGATATGGGGCAGAGGTAATGTGTTTAATGCCATTTTGTGCAAGGAATAACTGGAATTCTTCGGAAATAAACTGGGGTCCGTTATCCGACACTATAACTTTAGGAAGTCCCAGTTGCGAAAATAATATTCTTAACTTCTCAATAGTATTTGTTGCTGTTGTAGTCTTCATAGGGAAGATTTCCAACCACTTGGAATGCGCATCCACAATGAGTAGGAACATAGAGTTCATGAAAGGCCCAGCAAAGTCTATGTGTAGACGGTCCCAGGGTTCCTTAGGCCAGTCCCAGGGATGTACCGGAGCAGCCTTTGGCATGTTGCTATGTTGCTGGCAACCACTGCAAGTGGAACATAAGTTTTCGATATCTTGATCAATTTTAGGCCACCATACAAACGATCTTGCGATAGACTTCATTTTGACGATCCCAATGTGACCTTCATGCAAATCCTGTAAAACTCTGTCTCTAAGTTTCTCTGGCACAACAACACGATTTCCCCACATCAAGCAATTCTGGTGACAGGTAAGCTCCTTAAATCTGTTACTGTATAAACGAAATCTCTCGTCATCTGCAGGTAAGTCATTGTGTCCCTTGGAAACACAGTCCAATACGTGTGATAAGATATTATCTCGTTGAGTTCCAAGTTTGACTTGTGCACTAGTAACTGGTAGTTGATCTATTTGAGTATTGTAAAATACTGTTGCCGTGTCCTCATAATCTGATGTTGTCACTGAAAGCGGTAGTCTACTAAGACCATCAGCATTACAATGAGATTTGGTGTTTCTGTATTCTATGTCGTAAGTATGCCCAGCCAGATACAGTGCATACCTCTGCAGTCGTGCAGCTGTCATGGCAGGTATTCCAGCACTGGGGTTCAGGATGCTAACCAATGGCTTGTGGTCTGTGACTAATGTGAAATGACGTCCATAGAGGTAAGTATGGAATTTAACAACTCCCCAATACAAAGCTAAGGCTTCCTTGTCAATTTGAGAGTATGCTTTTTCAGCCTTGGTAAGTGATCTGGAAGCAAACGCTATTGGTCGTTCGGTACCATCGTCCATTACATGAGAAAGTACACTACCAAGTCCATATGGAGAAGCATCGCAAGCTAGCTTGACCGGTTGGTTTGGGTCATAGTGACAAAGAACTTGCTCTGACGTCATTATTTCCTTAACTTCTGTGAAGGCTTGTTCACACTGTTTTGTCCATTTCCATGTTTTATCTCCCTGTAGAAGCTCATTCAGTGGACCCAGGACTGCTGACAGGTTTGGTAAGAAGGAACGATAGTAATTAACTAAGCCCAGGAATGATCGGAGTTGGTGTAAGTTCTCTGGTCTAGGTGCATTAAGTACAGCATTGACCTTGTCTGGTGACTTCTTCAGTCCCTCCTCTGATATCATATGACCACAGTATGACACTTGTTCTTTAAAGAAGTCACACTTTTCTAGGTTAGCTCGTAGACCAAACTTTTCTAATTGTTCTAAAACTGCATCAAGATTTGCAAGGTGTTCTTCATCTGTTTTTCCACTTATGATCATGTCATCTAATACGCATGATGTGAATGGTATCCCCTGTAACACTTGGTCCATTGCACGTTGCCAGATAGCTGGGGCAGCAGCTACACCAAACTGTAGGCGTGTGTACTGGTATAAGCCCTTGTGTGTATTAATTGTCATTAGCTCTCTGGAAGACTCATCCACTTCCATCTGGTTGTAGGCTTGTGTCAAGTCTATCTTAGAAAACTTCCTTCCTCCTGCTAGTGAAGCAAATATATCCTGAATTCGAGGTAAAGGATACTGGTCCACCTTCATTACTGGATTTATGGTTACCTTGTAGTCTCCACATAGACGTACTTGACCATTTTTCTTCACTACAGGGACAACAGGTGAGGCCCATTTACTGTGGGTAACTGACTTGATGATGCCCTCCTTCTCCAGGCGCTTGAGTTCTTCCTCGACTTTTGGCTTCAGGGAATAAGGCACGGGTCTAGCCTTACAGAATTTTGGTTGAGCATTATCTTCCAGGTACAGTGTACCTCTAATTCCTTCCAGTCTTCCAATTTCTGACCCAAAAACAGCTTGATGTCTGTCGAGAATTTTCTTTAACATTGTGTCAGTTTTCTGTGTGGTCTGTTGTAGCTTCAACACTTTCACTTCATGCCAGTTCACTTTAAACTGTGATAGTCCATCACGACCAAAGAGTGCTGGTCCATTCTGTCTGACTACTATTAAGTCCATGTTTCCCTGTTGCTGATTCAATGTCACCGGTACATGCACTGTGCCTAGAGGACTAATATTCTCACCAGTAAAAGTTCTGAGTTTTATTCTGGTCTTCTGAAGTGGTACATCACTGAGATTTTGTTTATAAAAGGCCTCAGGTATGATAGATACAGATGATCCAGTATCTAGCTCCATGTTAATTTGTTGTCCTTTGATCATCAGCTGGAGGATAATTGGGTCAACTTTGTTCATGTTATTAACAGTATGCACATGTAACATAGGTTCAAACTGATGTTCATCATGTTCATCATTGTCATTTAAGAAGTTCACTTTTTTTTCCAGTCCTTCTCTCTGTGTCCTTCTTTTTCTTTAAACATGCCCTCTCAATGTGGCCTTTCTTTGAACAGTAACGACAAGTACTGTTTACATGTTTACAGCTTGTTACACTGTGCTCACCTCCACATCTCCAACATGGTTTGTGTGAACGTTGTTGTGGTGCTGGCATATGCTTTTGTGTCTGAGGTTTCATAGAAAAACGAGGTTTTGATTTCTGACTACCAATTACCTTGTGAACTGTAGTACTGGTGTTTCTCTGCTCACGAAGCTCTGTTGCATCACGTCCTGCTGTCTCCATTGCATGTGCAATTTTTACTGCAGTATCCAGGGTTAGTGCTGGTTCAGCAAGTAGTTTCTTCTGGACAGATTCACTGTTAATACCACACACGAATCGGTCTCTTATAGTGTCATTGAGAGTCTCTCCAAAGTTACAATGAATTGACAATTTTCTGAGTTCCGCCACGTATGAAAGCACAGTTTCACTTGACCGTTGTTCACGTTTGTGAAATCTAAAGCGCTCCGCAATAACAGAAGGCTTGGGGCAAAGATGTCTATTCAAATGTCCAAGAATTTGTTGGTACGTGAGATCTGCAGGTTTAGTAGGTGCAACAATGTTCTTTAGTAACCCGTACGTTTTAGGTCCTATTACTGCTAAGAATGACGGCACTAATAAGTCTTCAGACACCCCGTTAGCTTTAAAGTAAAGATCAACACGTTCTGTGTAAACATCCCATGTCTCGATTGATTCGTCGTATGATCCAATCTTACCGATTGATCTGACCTGTAAGCCTATCAGTTGTTGAGCGTTTCCTTCTTCACCCATTTTGTATCAATCTGTATGTTTGCCGACTCTAAACCAGCGTCCTCGTCGCCAAAATGTTGTGTTGTTCAAATCATCACACTAACACGTGGGTCAGCCATAACGGAACTAACTTTTATTGAATGCGCAAGTGCAGTACATTCTAATATACAAACCAAAGATACAATAGATCCGGAATACATCACAATACTGATCGTGTAATCTATGTAATTCCTTTTTCGCTTCTCAATTATTAAAGACAGAAGGATAAATAGTTTTCATACAGCCCCTCAATCACTCAATGCGAGATTTCAACATCCATCTGATGCTCTTAATCCATTCTGACAAAATGTCAAGGTCTTCTTTTTCGTGTTTGGCCCATCGCCTGGCGTAATTCCACGGTATTAAAATTTCACGATTTCTAAAAAAAATACCAATCGCGATGGGTTTAATTTCACGCTGCAAGAAATTAATTTGAATTTCGTATAAGCATTTAAACGTTTTCAAAAACTAATGATAGCATTCACGATGGATTTAATTTCGCGGAAAAATGATGAATCGCGAACATAGTGAAATTAAAACCATCGTGTTTATTTGCCAATATATAGTATTTAGCACAAATTATCGAATTAAAACAGAATTACTTTTTGAATTTTTGTGGTTCTTGTTTCATAGTCAATTATATATAATAAGTGTTTTATCGTCTTTATAACTATCTTGACCTGGCAATATCAATAAAGGTGTTGGCCAGATAACCACTTGTACTCACGATTTGATGAATATTGTACATAACAATCGTATGTGCAAACTGTGTAAATACACATAACATACACATAACAGTGCCAAATTCTTTGTTAATTCCTGAAATTTTTGAGTGGGGCGATTGTCTTCTGTATGACATGATTTTATTCGAAAACAATATAATTAATGACGTGACAAACATAATTGATGACTTGATTTTTATTTGAATTCAATAGGTCTATACACGACTATAAAATGTCATAACATTATTATATTTCAAATTTTTTTCGGATAATTTTTTTTTATAATGTTATGCATTGAATGATATTTTCAACCATTTTTTTATGTAATGATAATGCATTTCTATATGTGGAACGTGATATAATTGCAAGTTATAATGAAGACATATGTTGATTTCTCTTCCTAATACGGCTGCCAAACTAACGTAAACTAAAATAATTGAAGATAAATTTTGCGGTCAAGTTCTTTATTTCATGTCTTTGTGTCATACGACACATCAGAATACGTGGTAATTACATGTACTAAATATTGACAATATAACAAGGTATGAGAAAAAGAGAGGAGTGAGTATGATAAATAGAAAGTACACAGAACGTGTTACATCAGGTTATTGTAATTATGGAACTCTTAAGATTTACAAATATTCATTCTCCCAATTATACAAAGTACCGGTACTCTTAGAAGTTGAATTAATTTCCAAACACTAGATTTTCATAGCAATACTTTTTTTTCAAGTATTTCAATCTAAGGACATGATAAAAAGACAAAATAGTGTAAAATGAAAATCTTTTTCTATCATTTTCAGTGAACACTTTTTACAAAATTTATTTTTCCTTAGCTTATTAACATATCTAACAATTTCAACATTCAGAATAGAGCAGATAGTCTACTTCTTGCAGACTGTATTTTGTACATGTAATTGATAGGTTTACGTAGCTACATATGAGGGTGAATTAAAAAAAATGACCACCAAACTGAAATTTTGGGAAAAATTAAACTACTTATAACATATTTTTCACTTATATCATCATATTGCACATGTATTCTAGTTTAAAATCCTGAAGTGTAGTAGAATAGACAATTGGATTAAAAAGTTTCAGAATTTTTATTAGTAAAATTTCTTTTGAAAAAAAGAAAATATCATTACACCTTAAAAGACTTTCTGAAATACATAATCATAAGAAATTATAGTTTTTTATGCTTCAAAATGGTAAAAGGGGTATAAATGATTAAATCTAGACCTTGAATGAGTATCTTCTCTTGTATATGTGATGAAAAATTGGCTTTTTGATTGTTATTTTACATTATTTTTTCAATTCTACTTTGAAAAGTTTTAATATGAAAAAAAATATGAAGCAATAAAATTCCCCAAAATTCACTTTTTTGTCCGTTCAAGTCAATTATTTAAATCTAAGTCAAAAAAGAATTTTTATATACGAGTTCTCTTACAAAAAATACTAGATTTTGAAGTGACCCTATGTTATAATTACATTATTGTGTTGCACTCCTGACATCTGATATGTATTTTATTTAACATTGTTTTAAAAATTATAACACACAATAACCCATTCTTACTTTGTAAATCAATTTGTCGTTTTGATATTTTTCATCGTTTACGGCAGGTTTTGCCTTTTTTGAAGACCTTAAAACATGATTATTTGCAAAGTGTAATTATACAAATTGTATTTAAAAATATATGTGAAATGATGAAAAGTATTCCCTGAATTGACTGTAAAATTTCTGTAATTTGTTGATAGACATAGTGTTTTGAACATCAAATAGTATCAAACAATTTTTTCAACTTATTTTTTAGTAAAGATAGTTAAAAAGCATTGGTAATTATAAAGCAGTTCTGTTGCACTCTTGACTGCAGTAAAATTTAAAATTAAAACCATAGAACACAAAAATTCGTAAAGTGTTGGCAAAATCAAGTGGTAATGAAACTTTGCAATATTTATAGTCCAATACTTCATAATTAAAACAGATGAAAGTATTTGAAATTCGCATTTTATCTGGAATTATTCCCTATTTATGCCAAAAAAAAACTAGCTTAAATGTATATTTAGAAGATAAAATATATTCTATAGCATATTTTCCTTTAGAGGACAAACACAGTAACCCACCAGAAAAATTCTACTTATCATTTTTTTCTTTATTTTTATTCTTATTGGATGATTTATAATTCTAACATATTTGTTGCACTCCTGACCAAAAGCATTGGGGCCTTTAAAGTAGAATTGTGAAGTGAAAATTATATAATAACTTGTTCTGTTGTTTCAGTGAAGTTGAGGAGGAATTACTTGAATTTAATGACAATTTTTTAGTGTGTTTATTTTTAACATTCATTAAAAAAATCACAAAAAAGATAAAAACACATCTGAATTGATAAAATTGAAAAGGAAGGATTTAATAATAAAACTGTCAATAATTTAGTATCAAATTATACAAAAAGATCATTATTAATTAATGAATACTTCTAAGCATGAATAGAAGTGTTTTCGTCACACAACCTGAATCTTTAAAAATGTGTTGCACTCCTGACCATAGAAATATAGATCTGAAACACAGACGAATCCTGTAATTGATAAATCTATTTGGTAAAAATGTTCTTTGTGTCCTTATTTTCCAAAATAAAAATCAGAAAATCATATAATTATAATAGTTTTTTTCATGCTTGGGAGCAAAACATCAAATGTTGCACTCCTGACATTATTGGGTATGCACATATACTTGACTCTCATTAATGCTGCTTGTGATTTATATAACAATTTTAAGTTTTGAAAAGTATATCAGTTATTGTTTTACACTTCGAAAATTCTCTTTTGTCTTAATTTTCTTTCAGAATTTTACAATTAATGTTTTTTTGGCAACACTACATTTTTTCTGTTGCGCTCCTGACATGGTATAACATTTTTTAAACATCAGCCATGACCACAACTTGATTGAACAAAAGTTACTACAGTCCACATTTAAAGCTCAATACTTTGAAAATTATCAGGAAAGTCTTTATTTTCAACATAAAGCATTATTATTTATTTCACAGATCTCGCAATAATATTGAAATTTCAAAATGTCATAAAAAGGTGTTGCACTCCTGACATTTTTAGCATCATTTTTGGGCATAACATTTTTGTTAATTGGGATATCAACGAGATATTTGGCAGGTATTTAGACATTAATTATCTAAAGACATATTCTGAGACATAGAAATTTATTTTCATTGCCTGTATTTTTGGTGTGGGTTGATAAATATGCGTTTGGTCATTTTTATTGAATTCAACCATAACAGACTTAAGAAAACCCATATACATGTATATAGGTTTTAAATAAAATGCATACAATTATAAAATTTTGT